GACCACGAACGAGAACAGTCATTCCGAGAAGCTTCCATGGCATCGCGGGAGCAGAACCAGAAGGGCAGAAGAACGGAGCGGACCCGGTTTATCGGGACTTGCTAGAGTACATGAAGGTACTGCACGGGTTAGTTATTCTAGAATTAGTTAGGGAGAGTATTTGCTGCAGGTACTGAGTTATTAGAGACCCTAGCGGAGGGCAGTTATGTAATATAACCCTTGACACTTGAGTCTTCGTCTTCAATCTTCTTTACCAGGCAACCCTTCTCTACCAGTGTCCTTATGTACTGCAAGTACATTTAGGTACTCTAATTTACCCGACGAGCCGCGCGCACGGTACCAGATGCCCTGCATACATACTGGAAGAATTTCCGTAGGCGGGGTTGCGGTACTTTCTGTCCGTATTGTACAATATTTCTTGAAACCATGAAACCATGATCGTTTCACTTGGCGAGGCGGGGAGGGAAGGGGAAGTAGATAGAGAAAGCTTGGTATTTCCTAATATTTTTACCGAACGAGTGAGGGAGGGATATGTTTGTCGAAAGATATCGTAGTTGTAGGTTGGTGCATTGGGCATCAATATGAATTCGAATTACCTACTACTATGAGTCGGAGCTGGCAATTATTACCAGTATGCTAGGAGACCCAGTAACCAATTTCTTTGCACGCGGGAGAGAAATGGGAAATATATTAACGGAGCCCCAAAGTGGGCTACGACGTAGGGTAGCTTACATACCCTAGCTGCAGGGATCCCGCCTGCCTTCCCCATCGGTTTGTACGAACCGTCCCCTTCTTGTGATATTGAATGCGCTGCACTATACAGAAGGTACATAATCCAAGGGTACCATGTACTAGGCACGATCCCTACTCATCATGATAGTCAGGAGAAGTAGGTACTGACCAAAGTCAAAGGACAATTAATTGCACTGACATGTTTGTATAAATCAACTCTCCTCTGCCCTTCCTCCCCGTTCTACTTTCTCACCATCACCATCGGACTAGCTCCTTCACACTCTTTGTCGTTCTCTCCCGCTCTTCTGTATTTTTGTTTTTTGTGGCTTGACGCCCAATCGCGACCTTACTCCACACTCATTAACAATTCGCTGAGCGTTTCACTCTTTTGAAAACCCCAAATCGACAAAAATGAAGTACTCTGCTGTTCTTTCTGCTCTTGGCTCTGCCACTGTTGTGCTTGGCCACGGACTCGTTTCTCAGATTGAGATTGGGGGTACCCTTTATGATAACTACTCGCCCTATGTTGATCCTTATTTGAACCCTGCCGTGGAGCGCATTGGTTGGACTACTGAGAGCAACGGGCCCGTTGAGGTAAGAGTTGGCCTATATAACCCAGTCGTATAACCCTTATACTAACATCTCTCTCATAGGATGTCTCCACCGCCGGCATTGCCTGCAACACTGGCTCCACTGCTGGTGCCCTCAGCGCGACTACCGCGGCTGGCTCAGATGTCAAGTTCTTCTGGACTGTCTGGCCTGAATCTCACAAGGGTCCTACCATGACCTACCTCGCAAAGTGCCCGGGCACTGACTGCACCACTGCGGACCCCACCACTCTCGATTGGTTCAAGATCGACGAAGCGGGCCTCAACAGTGACGGCACCTGGGCGTCCGACACCCTCATTGCCAACAACAACACCTGGACTGTCACCATCCCGTCGGACATTGCGTCTGGCCCGTACTTGATGCGCCATGAGCTTTTGGCCCTCCACGCGGCAGAGAACACCAACGGTGCTCAGTTCTACCCCATGTGTGCCAACTTGATCGTCACTGGTTCTGGCAGTGCTGTTCCTTCGGACACCGTCAAGTTCCCAGGTGGATACACTTCTAGTGACCCGGGTATCCTGATCAACATCTACTACCCCGTCCCAACTAGCTACACCATCCCCGGCCCGGCCGTGTATGTTCCTGGTGGAGCTAGCGCTTCCACCTCTGTTGCTGCCACCACCTCTGCTGCTGCTGCTACATCAGTCGCTGCCACCGAGATTGCTGCCACTTCTGAAGTTGCTGCCACCTCAGTTGCTGAAACCACCTCAGTCGCCGCTATTCCTACCACTGTGTTGGCCAGCTCAACCTTCATTGGCACCGGCTTCGTTGGAACCGGCCCCGCCAGTCTCCCTACCTACGTCCCATCCGTCAGGCCCCCGTTCTCCAACAGCACCCGCACCATCACCCGCAGCCGTGGCCCCACTTCCAGTGCTCTCCTTGACGCCACCCACACAGTCAGTGTTCTCCCAGTTCAGGAGACCGACCCCGTCGATTTTACCACTGAGATCGTCTACGTGACTGCTCCCGCTACTACCTCTGCTCCCGCGACCACTGTCACCGAGACTCAGACCTCAACCGTTGAGAAGACCGTCATCTTGACCTTCACTGCGTCAGCCATCGAGACCGTTACTGTCACTGAGCGCAGGCCCGAGTGCACTGCTACCGGCAGACACAGGAGGGGAACTTACTTTGTTTAAGCGGATGTGATTATGAGTTAGTTTAATTGTACGGGATACAGTTGATGAGTGAGCTGTGAGATGGGAGTTAGTTTTCCTTGTATATATTCCAATAACTAGACGTCTATTGGCTGGTTGCGCTTAAGATATATTGCTTATTATTATTAGAAATGATTTTCTTGTGCCCAGTGACTACCTTGTTCTCTAGACAGTAGCTTTTGATCACAGCCCATAAGTAATTCTCAAGAGGTCCTGTTCTTTCTAGTCGGACCCTGATGGTCAAACTGTGTTATATACTAGCTTCCATTCACGAATGGACTCATAATTATTGCACTAGCAACATAGGTGGCCTTTTATTCTCACCTCTTGGTATATTGGTCTGCTCAGCTAGCCTAGCTAGGAAAATTTCTGGGGTCTTAGGCCGCGTTCACGGTTGGACTGGAGAGCTGTCTTGGCAGGGCGGTCTGGCTAACATTGGCCGAGTGATATATTATGACCGCAAATAGCCAAGCAACATTAATTTTCCCAGAGGATAATTCCTGAACATTCTGTTTTTCACTATATCATAGAACGCCTTATGAAAGCCTATTCACTGAGGGGGTTTGGATAGTTGAATGAGATGATGAGTTGTGAACCCTGCTCCACTGAGTAACGTCCGTCAAACACACAGGCCGGCGTGTCTTGCGGCGTTCAAGGTATATTTCGAGCCAGAGGCTGCCTGTTGTATGTAACGAGCGAGTGAAAGGCTCTGAAAATTGAGGTTCGTGATAGAATAAGACTGAAAAGCACTATAAAGGCGCTGGATTCCATGAACCCTGGCATTCTCCACTATATCTACCAGGAGCATGAGGGCGGAGCGCGGGACGATGTATATAACCTATTGTCCGCTTATATGAGGGTGGATTGTGGCCGGACAGAGGAGTTGTAGTGACATGCTATATGACGCGCAGATGAGCAGAAACAAGATAAATTCTGTTCAGTTCGTATTTCCGTGGTCGTACCAGCAGAAGAAATCAGACCCCGGTGCACGTGCACGGGCTTTGTATATATCTGCGGCCGATGGTAGTGCGAGCTTAGTATATCAGTAAGGGGAGCCAGCTAGGACTTAAGTGTCAAGGAACTGTGATTAGCGGGGCTCTAAAACGGAGGGTTTGGCATTTTGTAGGTGTAGGAGTTAACGTTGTGGTTGGTTAGCAGGGAGAAAATACCGAACACTTAATTTGATTACCCGCTCTACCACAGACAACGTCCCCTGGAAAGTTGTAGCGGCTGTCCGGAAGTCAAAGATAACCATATGCATCAATCGTATTAAAATCTCAGCAGCCATCCTTTGATGCCTTCTAGTTTGTAGGCGGCCATGGTGGGTGGAGGGGACGGACTCACCACAAAACTTAACCTCACACCGACGTGTTAATGCAGAAGGGAACGCTGTATTAATGATTTATGGTAGAGTGTGGCTCCAGTTAGAGCTTAAGGAGATGGATATCTGGCTGTGGGAGATTGGCTACAGAAAGGGAGACAATAAGAGGGAAGGAAAATGAACACCCAGAGGAGAAGAAGAGTAGTAAAATTCCCCTCGAATACTACTTGAGGACACAATGCTGTTTAAGCAAGCGAGATAACATATCTGTTCCTTACTATAGACCCTCAAGTACAGATATTGGCATCTCATCTATCTCTCTTATAGCATCATCCTCACTGCGACCAGGACAGACAACTTGGGACTATCGACAGGATGCTCCTAAGAGAATATGACTACATGTAGCCATATGTAGCGGTCCACATACATGTAGCTAATAGCTAGGCCGGTGGCCTCGACAAAGCGACCATGTACAGTTTTTATAACAAACCATCTCGCAAAAGAGAAGTTTGACTCGCGCGTTAATCTTTTCTTAATCTTCTCGAGTTGAGCCCCTACATCAAATCCAGAAATCAGGAATCAGCTTTTGCTTGAATAATACTCTAAATTATAAAAAGCACAATTAATAGGCATGGAAGACAGTAAAGAACTTAGAAGTCATGGCTAGCATCATGTACAGCGACAGGTAATAAGTGATGAAACGCCCTGAAATACAGTTATACCTTCAAACACCGTAAGTTAGTGGAGTTTTACCCAAAACAGGTATCACTGTGTCTCAGCCTGTCCCATCACTTATTACCTACCGCTGTATATCAGACCCGAGTAGAATAGAAGAATGTGGCGCGTGGTGTATAGGCGTCTTCTCTCCTATATGCATCGACGCAGGAATTCTGAAACTGTGCTACCTCATCATGAAATTAAAAACTTTTTCTAAGTACATCTAACTTTCCACTATTATTGATCACTGAGTAAGACACAGTGAACTGATGTCATGTAGGTAAAAAAGCCAACAAAGTAAAAAGCTCAAGATTAGAGACGTCCGGTTATAAAGAGAAAAAGAGTTAAGATACATATAGATGTCATCAGCGTAATCACCGCCTCCAACTCCTACCCAAAACAAAAGACAGCAAAGGAAAAAAAAAAGATATCTTCGTGCTCATCATACACACCTTTGGCCGCTACTACAATATGCCCATCCCCAGCATCGCGAGAACAACACCACCAAACAGCATGGTATATTTCACAGCAACAGATGCGGCAGCGGCAATCTCAGGGTTACCAACAACCTGCACGCCATCAATCGTACACATGGTCTGGCATGCCGGCTTGTCGGCCCGCTTGTGAAGATCCCGCGCACTAAGGTCGTCCGGGCCCGATGTGTTGAACGCCATTTCAACCCACTCAATCTCCATGTACGCCGTGTCACCCACCGTCATATTCCCTGACCAAACGCCTCCATCGGACCACATATTCTACACCAATGCCTCAGTCAGTCAAAACAATCCCTACACCTTCCAAAGCAGCCAGAATCGAAACCCACCATAACGAAATAACTTGCAACCGTCGGCACACCATACTCCTTATCGAGATAATGCTCCCCATCCACATACCAACTACTCTTCCCCTCTGTCCAATCGATCCTATGCGTATGCCAGTCATCCCACTTGACATCACCATACTTCTGCCTGGCCCTCTTGATCTTCTTGTCCGGCTCATTCGTCCCATCGATCTCCGTGCCCGTCGCCATGTCTACTGATGTCGATGCACCAGAAATTTCGTTACCTTGATCGTCAACAACAGGCTGGTTAGAGTAGCGGATCTCGTTGTTGTTGTCCCTCGTCAGGATCTCAATGTCGGATTCGTTTTGCCCGTTCTGGTAGATGAAGAGGCCAGCCACGGCGCCGGATGCACCGGTGACTCGTGCGCGGATCCGAATGGAGGCGTATAGAAGGTTCTTGTGACTGTAAAAGAAAGCTTATTAGGATTCTATCGGATTGCCCACGGGATGAGCGAGACTGGATTGACTTACAGCGACTCGACCTCCGCCGCCGACTGAAAATTCGAAAACCTATGAGTCCTCAACACCAACTTCGACGTCGCATCCGTATCCACATCGGAGCCCGCTGCACCCCAAAAATCAGCAAAACCGTCCCGCAATGCCAACCCAACGAGCAAAGTGCCAATGATCAAAAAAACCACACTAACATATATAAACATTCGCCAAACTATTCTGCATGCGGATCGGGAAATCCCCCGTTGGCAGCTTGCCCCAATCCATGGTAGCCCAGTAGTCTGTCCAATCATTGCTCTGGATCCACCCGGCCTGCGCATTCCCGATGCCCGGCTCGGTGGTGTAGTTATCCGGCGTAGGGTCTAATTCCTGCGGTAAGACGGACGGGAGCGGCGGCGCACTCGCAACTGGCGTGATTGTGCGGAAGTCGTGGAACTCGTGCTGCGTAAAGACACTGTCCGCATCTGTCTCGTAGCAATCACATGAGGGCGTTGAGTCTGCTGCTGTTACCACAACAGCGGGTATCAGGGCGCTGAAGAGGACGAGCAGCGGGAGCTCTAAGAGGACGAGCATTTTTTGGCGTGGGGGGGGGGGGGGGGAGGGCAATGGGAACTATGAATTAATTACTAGTACTGTACTGACGATGATACAGAGAAGGAGAGGGAGAAGGTGAGAGAGAATGGTGATATGTATATAATCTCTGACAGCCCACATAAAGTAATCACAGCCCCTAACCTGACCCTGCCGTAACATATAACCACCCCTGCTAAAAACTTGTAAAAGAATCGTTTACAGCGGGCGAGCCAAGCATTTTATTCTCAACTAGACACCCGTGTTTCTGACCCTTTAAATAGCAGTCCTCGCTGCCAATCAGGGCCCTTCTTCCCAGGGAAACTCAGTCCAGATCGCCAAGAATGGATCGCTATTGTAGCCGAGGAGGTGCTGTACAGGGGTGGGTGTGTTACTCTATATCACTACATTTCCCTACTGTTACTCTACTCTATTCTGCTCTATAAGGGGACCCTGTAAAGGTACTCTGGGCAGGTATGAAGAACCTGAACATGTGTTGGCGGTAACGGTCTCTGGTTCGCGCATATTTTGAACTAACTGCAAATTGAATCCCTGCCTGCATATCTCATGTTCAGGTTCTTCTTGCCTGCCCCGAGTACAATGTAGGCATGTAATACTCAAGCGCGGACAGGAAGGCAACTACATGTACTACCCACATACAAACACCTCATCGATCCCACAACTCCAGCCAACAGCATCGTATCGTCAACCCCTGACGGCTGAAAGGAATGCTTTAGGATTCGATCAAGCCACCCGGAAAAGCGGCTTTGTAACGTATGTACATGTATGTAGGTAGGTTATACGGGGGTGGGTTCATCCAACCACATATATGTCAACAATCCAAATACTTTTACCTTTTACCTCGTTCTCTTCCCCGTGCGTATGATTACTCGTCCCATCCCTCGGGCTCTGTCTGTGCTGTTCGTGTGCGTACCGTCCATGGATGGGGTTCAAACCCTCCATTGGGATTCGGGCGGGAGGAGAGTCAGTAGTACGTACCTCTCCCTCATACAACAAAACCTTTGCCTTGCCAGAATAGCAGTTTGTATCTACATGTATGTATGTGTACTCAGCCCCCCCGCCTCCTGTATGGACAACAAAAGGAAAAAAAAGATGAAGTTTCACCTCACCCTGTGGAACTTTCCCCGGAACCTCCCATAGCACCACCGCAGAGCCTCCCCCTTGTGCCCAAAATGCTTGTAGTTATTGGCAGAGCTTATTTGTGCCACGGAGAGATCTTGGCAGCAGGTGGAGGCCTCGTAAGCTCGCTATGCACGATCAGCGGTGCATGCAGGCACCGATTTTAACGTTAATTGTGTGGGGTTTGGTTGGTTGTCTAGAGTAGAGGTGCTTAAACCGCTCAAAGATGCGGGTGCTTCCTTCTTGCAGATTCCTCATAGGAACCGCACATAACTGCGCGCGGCGCCTTGTCTTGCCTTGATTACATACATACAATTCCTAGAGCAGAGTAGCAATAACGGCACCGCCCCCGAGGGCGGGCAGTGTACCTCCATTATATACATCTATCATCCCACTCGAAGCCAGGCGGTGAAGTCATGTACTCTGGTATCTACCTCGTACTCTAGCATTCGAATACCCCACCGCGGAGCAAATACACAAAATTAAAAGGGAAGCGACAGAACTGGAACAAATGCATCACCTACCAGCTGTGCAGTGTAGATCCTGCCTGTCTCAACCCCAGACCAAGAAGAGCACAAGCACTGGATGACGTGACGATGTTCGGGAATGTCTTAGACGAGCGTCAAGCATGCGGTGGGGTTTCCTGGTTCTCTTTGTCCAGTACTTGCTAGCGGCAACGGGTGGTTGTGTATAAATTTAGGGCGGAGGAGATTCGAACACAGTTGATTGTGTGTAACAACTGAAATGGGATAGGGGAAAGCTCCCTTTTATAACCACAGTTATAGAACAATTTGTTCTCAAGACAAAGTACAGGTAGTTAATTAGAGCCACATCCAAACAAAATAACAAAACCACAAATAACACCTACATCATCCCACTATCTTTTGCGCCTGAATTAACGCGATAGAAGCTAACCAGGTTGCAATTGACTCTCTAAGTCGCTGAGCCCGTGCGGCCGCGATCGATGTACCTACATACATGTATGTATGTACATACAACTAGCCCGACTGTCTGTTAGCGAGCTAGACAAGAGATGCGGACCATTCCAAATGTTGTATGTAGAAGCAGCCCGTGATGTGAAAATGACCATCAAAACCCAATATACCAGCACAGCCCATGGGGCGGTCTGGACTGAACCGGCCGCACAGGCCGGTTCAACGGATACTCTGCATAAAGACGATGCACAGAAGCTTCAGAGGATACCTCCTTAATAAGAACATACATGAATGCACTCATGGCAAGCCATGACCTATCGTATGTACACATGTCTGTAGAGATGTAGCCCTACAAGCGCTGCAGTGTACTCGCCGCTCTACTACAGAAACCCGTCTAGTCAGGCAGTACGTACTCTACATGTAGTTGTGTTCGTACTCTACCCCCAAAGCAGATCGGACACTCCAACCAGTTTTGCGCTGGGCTGCGGGATGCGAGATTTAATTTGTGCACCGCCATCGATATATCCCTCGAAACCCCGTTTCCTCAAACCCACGCATCCGGTTGGAGAAACAAAATAAAGTAACTTAATGAAGCGCCCATCCAGGTCATACAGCAACGTCAACCTAGAATAGAGATACAGATATGTTGACGTGACAGCTAGCTTCTGTAGCCAGAAATACCACTATACTAGCGCCCCCTAGGCTTGCCGATAATCCCGTGATACCGGGGCACTGGAAGATCGGCAGTTGCGGCATTCACGGCTTGGAAGCTTGTTCTTCGGATAATTATAAATGGATGTACGTAAATGCAGGCTTAAACTTGTCGGGTATTTGGTTGGTTGGTGGTTTTAAGGTTATGGCTCAGCTAGGCGCGGATCATGGTGTATCACTCGTCGTCTGTATCCGAGCCGGCACGGACAGCAGGTCAGGGGGCTAGGGGTGCCTATTAGTTACCGTTGTTTATTGTATTTTAGATCCTGTACTACGGTGTTTATTTGCATTGTAGCTAGCTGTAGAGTATATGATGTCGCGTCCATCCTTCTTCTCTTATCACTACATGTACATACATGTATGTATATTACCATATCAACTATCAGGATTTGGGACGTACCACATCAGATGCCATGGAGGTCAACCGGTGACTTTGATACCCTTTGCTGATGTCTCTGTTCTTCCTGAGTTTTCAAGGTACGACTGTTCAGTCCAGTATTATTACTAGATTAAAATTTAGTTGGTTGCTAACACCACTGAGCATCACTAGTACTATCTCTCTGCTCTTGCACACCTACCATCGATACATCACCATCAATCATACCACGGAGGTTAACCGGAGACTTTGAAACCTTTTGGTCTCTCCCCGCTGCCCATGCTACATACATAGTTCCGGTTGGAGGAGCAACTACCAGCAGTCCATCCAATCCGGGGTTCCCTCGTGGTCTACGCATATTCCGGTAATTCATCCCTAACCTATGTATTCTCTCCACTAGCTACTCATCTCTTCGTTCGTGCTTAGTTTTCGCAAGAAAAAGCTGAGTTGATATTCAAAATACTAACTGCTACAGGGAGTGGATATCCTATAGGAGTGGAAAGATCTGTTGAAAAAAAGGTCACAAACTGTGACTTCAAGCCTAAAGAGGTTCGCGGAGTGTGTGTTAGGTGTGCTAGAGATAAAAGTCGCTGGAACAGGTTAAACACCCCAATAGCGTTTCTGGTCAAAACGGACGAAGGGATTACTCAAATAACTAATTCATCCAGGCATCGGGTGTTTCCTCTCCTTTCATGGAGGTTAACCGTCGACTTTTCTACAGATCTCCCAATATATACATATGTGATGTCTCATGGAGAATCACGAACGCTTTTGTAGGGTGGCCGTTCAAAGCTACGGATGGGGAGCACCAGGCAAGGCCATTGCTTTAGAGCTGCTTCTGCCAGCTCAGATATTGTTCCGTGGACGAGAGGGAGCTCTAGGATCTCTCGGGCTTTGTACGCTCCTGTCTACTTCAGCATTATTGCTGCCTGGGAATGAGGAGAGCTCAGCGAAATAATATTTTTGGGCCCCCTGTGCCGGGAATATCATGGCTGGTATGTTTTGTGTTGCTTCTCTCTCTAGATCTTTTCGATAGTTAGACAATTAACTAAGTGCTTCTAGATCTAGGATTGCAACAATAAACATCGACTCTTCGTCTATCTCTAAAGAGACGACGTTAATTGCTGTCGACTAAGCCTGCTACATCATATTTAGGGCGCGTTTGGCAACGGCCTAAACGGAGTTAAAAAGTCTAAAAACTTCGTTAAAACTGAAAATCCCGTTATGAGAAAAGTTGATGTGTTTGGCATGCCACTTTTAAGTGCAATTTTGATAATTTTAACAGAGTTTTGAAAAAGTAGGTTTGACTCGCTTTTCCATGTTGCAATGCACATCCTCACCAAAATACATGCGCTAAACCCACCAAACGGTATCCATGTTTGGCAAACCAAACTCCATTTAAGGATTTCTCTGTTTGCCGGTTGCTAACGGGATTGTTGCTTAACACAGTTTCTAAACTTTACTTCCTCCAAACGGGCCCTTAGCTTCTAGGCTCCAGCAGTCAACGGGAACCAGCCTATAGTGGTTTATGGTCTGGTAGTTAATTCTCTCTATAACCGTTAAATCAAATTATCACACAAAATACTAACCTACCTAGCTATAGGCCAAACCCTCCCTGAAACTCTCGTCCTCCAGCTTCTCCTGGAACCATGGATGGCAGCTTGCAATATTGGTTCTCGAGGAATCGCTGCCCAAACCATCCCTGGAAATCCTCATCCTCAGATTTCCCCTGAAACCGTGGATGGTAGTCCGCCAAATTAGTTCCCGGGGAATCGCTACCCATATCCATCAACCTCCTTTGGTGCCTCTTTTCATGGGCAACTTCAAAGAAAACGGAAGAACTATGGTCGTGGTGCCGGATGCCTAAAGCTCGGATTAGATGATAAAAGATCGAGCCAGACGCCTGTCAATCTATTCGGCAAAGGTATACCCGGATACAACAGACATTGTATCCCTTAGGCCGGCAGTCCATTTAGTAACTGGATCCGCCTAACCAAATGAGGTTATAGAAGGAGGAAATCTCAACTTCAACTGTAGCAGTTCGTAGCAGTAGAGCCCGCTAGGTATACATGTATCTACTCTGCTTTAGAAAACCTGTTACAATATCTAATGTAGTTGTGGTTGCGAAAGTTGAAACTGCGCTGCCAGCTTTTTATATCAATTTTAGCAAGTAGAATACGCTGCCCGCGCTCCGCGTGTCTATAGGGTGGAGGTCCACGTGCCGTGTTGATTGATCAGTCTACCTTGGGCTTAGTATTAAAGGCTGGGGAAGCTTCGAAGGGCAAGAACATAGATGCTATGGTAAAGACTAGGCCATTCTAACTATTGCCGGTGCCGAGAGAGATGCGAAGGAGGAAGACACATAGAAGTTTAGAGAGTGAGAACTCACAAATTAAAGGGCACTTTCGTGGTGACGTCACACTTTGGTTAATGAGATGCAAGCATAAGAAGGTTAGAGGAAAAGAAGGGGGTTGGGGTAAGATGAACCCTAGCAGATAGGGAACTCGGTTGTAAGAAGGTGAGAATAAAACTACGTCATTCCTCGCCCCCAAAGGGAATATCCAAAAAACCAACAAAAAAGTTGTCTCTCATCCAACCAGGAGGATGCAGTGAGTGCGAGGGGGGGATGAGAACCAACCGCCACCCCAAGTATCATCAAGGGCGGCGGAGAGGGAACTTGAGAAATACTGGTGTAAAGTCATCTAACTAATATATACCGCAAACATGCATTTCACGCTCAATAAATGAATTATCAAGCAATTATCTATCAATTAAATAAAATCACTATCTATCACTCGAAAATCAGTGTCAACCTGACTGTAAATTCGAGTGATATTTCATGATCATCGTTCCACCCCAAGTAGGGAACGGAATAGTATTTGGACCCAGAGCCTTAAAGAAAACATGTAGACATTCTACCAAGAGCAGTTATATTGTGTATTGCATGTGATGAAACGGTATCGCTATTTTTATTTAATACGAGAATGGGGATGGACGTGGGGGTTATACGTTATAATATATGGTGTTTGACAAATTTATGGAAGCATTATTTTTAGTTGGATCCCCGGGCCAGTGGGGGTCTTCTTATACCTCAATTTTATTGAGATGTGTTGGAAGAATCTGCATTCATCTGAGCTTGTACAACTTGATCTATCACTCAGATTTCACCTCTTTTAATTCAATTGACTCATTGCTATCCGGTCTAGATCTATTACCATCTTTCCCCCACCATTTGGATCTGTCAGATCGAATTCAAGCTTAGATCTACAAAGACTTAGGCCTACCTTTATCCTCCCACGTACGTATCTCTTTCACCTACCCACCATTGCTATCATAATCGGCGATTTCAAAAGGCCGCATAATCTCAATGAGCTCCTCCGCGCACCATAAGCGAATCGAAAGTTTCTACAGAAATGATACTGAGGATACAGTTGTCTTGGCAGGAGGTGCCGACTGAGGCGATGGTAGAATGGAGTGTGTCTCGTAGCGAGAGTAATGGGAGTAGCCAGCTTCTAGGCCCTGGCGAGTAGAATGGGGGAAATATAAGGGAATCATTTCATTGGTATGTATGTATGTAATGTAGGTAGTTCTCTAGCACTACATGTACATGTACATGTAGTTAAACATATGTCACAATGGCCGAAAATAATGATAGAAACTTCAATATATTAAAGCATTCTAAAAGAGCCAATATATATACGTAACAAACAAAAGAAGAAGGACAAGTAAAATATCTCGAAACAAGATCAAAAGAAAGAATGGATTAAGCTACATGTAATTCGTATCACGCATCATAGCCTGATGCGAGTGATTATCCGTGATCCATGCATGGTATGGTGCGACCAACTCTGTATCCGGTGTATATGTGACATGAGGCTCCATTGAACGCGGAAATATTGTTAAAGATAGAAAGAAAGTAAAGAATGTGACACCAAGTATAATTGATTAGATACTAAACGTTATTGTTGAGCCAGAGGCGGTGAGCAATGAGGGGCCCTCATCGTCTGAATCCGAGTCGTCTGAATTAATATCTGGTCGTTGACCGCGCGGACGCGTACGGCGTACTAGTAATAGTGTTCGAGAACGATGATGGACGTCCGAACTCGTTTCTGAATTTGAATGACGTTCAAGTTTCTGATTACGGGCCTGTTCATGAACTTCTGACTCATGAGCCTGGTGGACCGGTTCATGTGACGGCTCTGGGGCCCCTTGATGCTCTTCTGGCTCGTGAGCTTGGTGGACAGGCTCATGGGACGGCCCTGAGGCGCCTTGATGCTCTACGTAAGGCTCATAATACTCATCATGTTCCACGAAATGCTCGTCAACTTCTGCATGGTGTACAGCCTGGCCTGTTGCGCTGGGTCCTGAGCTAGAGTCCACCGCTACATGGCGGGCAGAGTGCCCTGTTTCACTGCGTCCAGAGTTAGAGGCTGCTTCTGCACGATGCTCCGGCTCCTCTGGCAACTGAATATGTACACTCCCGTTTCCCCTGACTGATCCAGCAATTGACTGTTCATCCCTTGCCGACTGCTCAAGCTCTTCTATCCACTCCGGTGTTCCTGGCTCAAATTTTGATTCAAAAGGTGCGAATGTATAATCTCTGAGTGTGTGAGACATCCTATCAGTGTGGGCGTTTTTTGCCTTCTCTATCCTTTTGATAAGTAGCTGCTGCTTGTCCTTGTTTCTCTCTTTATCTAACTTTTTGCTCAATCTGGCCAGCTTCTCCTTCTTGGTTTCGTTGGTTCTAACGATATATGTAGTCCCTTTTTTCCCATCCTGCCCAACGGTCGTGCATATGAATGCTTCTCTAGCGTTCGGGTCCTTTTCTTTAGTGAGGGGGATATGAACATGAGTTATAGGCGGTTTCTTCGCCTTCCCCGGTGGTGGATCCCGTACACTGGGGCTTCCTAGCTTCAAAACCATTCCAACAGCAAGTCTATGCAATAATGAGGAGTCTTTAGTGTTGGGTAGCTTTAACCTTTGACTATTTCTGTGGGTCGACATGTTGAGCGTGCTGGTATTTTGTGGTGTGTACTTGAGAATAAAGGTAAGATTTTGAGCTTGTCGGTGTTTAATTTGCTGCTTGTTGTTGATGATGCGTGTTACGAAGATCTTTGAAGTCTCTGCTAGGGATATCACATTCCAATTTATAGGAAAGGAAAAGGACGCTGATGACGTAGTAATATAGTATCGTCGGGTGGGGGTTGAAGTGAATGATTGAATCGATCTCTCAAAATGATTCTTTGTGGCCAAGAGTTATCTAATTATATGGATGCTGGCATGTAGCTGGGCTCATAATAGTATCATAAGATATCAAGATTGTAACCGAATATTCGGCTTTAATACCTGGGATAATTATATAAGGGTACGCCGAGAAGGGAAAATGTTCAGAAACCATTTTTATCCTAGCCCTCCAGTGTACTCATAAGGCCTAAGTTGATCAGGAAGAATCGATATCTAGGATAGGAGAATAGATTGAATGGAAATTCCCCCGCAAGGTAAATCTAATCCACTTCCTCGCTCAAGTTCCTCAAAGTATACTATCACTGAGAAGTGTGTGAGTGTCAGGACTTTCTAGGCCGCTCAATGTCTAGGAGGTAGTTATCATTAAACCGGCACTTTAGAATAGTCCAAATCCGGGACATAAGATTTGTTATTCGCAATATCTTTGGGCCCTAGAATAAAGGTTAATTACCCCAATCTGGTCACAGTTACACCACATTCTAAAAACCATTACAGATTTCATAACCCCATTTGAAAGATATTTCCAATTGCGATAGAAATATACGGCCTATATTATCAGTTTTATACCAATAACTGCTGGCTTAGTCATGGTAACTGGCAATAGTACCCGATTCATGAGATTTCAAGTTCTAAAAGTTTCTTGCAGGCTTTCTCGTTCGAGACATCTCGAGACCTAGCCTGACCCTGATCAAACGGTTTCAAGATAAAGTTTTCGTGTCTTAAATCCCCTCAGAAAAAGATTTTGAGACCCTTTGCCTCGTCGCGATAAAATTTCTTGTGATAACAGGATCCTGATATTGCCGTCGATGAGTCGGGCGTCCGGCGTTCGTTATACAAGTTATCCTGTTAGTAATATGTCAATAATAGGAATGATCTTTATGGCTAGCACACGATTCACTTGATTCAAGGATAATTCCAGCCATGATGAACCTTATTTTCAAAATCAGGAAATCGAAAGCGTGCCCATCTATTACACCGGAAGATTTGGGGACGCTGGTGTATGGAGAATCCTTAGGACTTCCTTCCATTATGGATATTTGTGGTGTGGTACATCTTTTCCAATGCGACGGTTTTATGTACGGTTTTCATTGATTCATTGATTATAGGGACGTTGAGTTGTGGGGCCGTGATTGCAATACGAGTGGCTAGAGGATCATATCAGCACGGCATTATTATTTGTGGGTTTTAGTATCTTACTTGACTGAAGTACTTATCGTTAATTCAAGCTATGTACTAATTTCTAGTGAGGACTAAACTGGAGCCCAGTGGGCTTATATAGCTCTGGTGGGCCGTGGCTTGGTCAAGCACTATACCCAAGAGTTACATGTAGCTAATATCCCGATATTGAACTATCTAGGCTACTACTTCTTTACTGAGCTTTACTACAACATCTTTCTTCTATGCGTACGCATGATCATGAGAGCTAAGGAGCAAAGATTTGCGCTCCCGACGATATTCAGCCTTAGGAGGCTACGAGCACTAGAGTCCTGAAACAGAATTCAAAACAGAACTCTCTTGAGAGCTGAATCGCTGTATTTGGGCGTGCCTTGATTTAAATGTGTTGTCTGGACTCTGCCGGGCGCGCACTAACAAGAGAAATATTCTAGAAGGACCAGAATATGCAGCCTAGCTTACATGCAGTTGTGCGCGTGCGCATATGGCACAAGGCTGCGATCTCAAACCCCTTGGACCATCAGCGTTATATTTCCCACAATCACGTCACTGGCGAGGATTAGACCAGGACGCCGGGGTCTAATAGGTCTGCTTATAATTAGTCCGCGTTTGTTTTCAAAGTTCTGGCGTCCTAGCTAACGGGAATGATCTAAGCGATTCGTGGACTGGCTAGTTCCCTAACCCTGACATTGGGTAAAAAGTGGTAATAATATCTTTTAATTATTTAGTATTGAAATGGTTCTATTCACTGGTATCATATTCCTCGAAGGATTAATCTAGCTGATCTTAGCCAATCAGTCTTTCTCACAACGCAGTTACCTATCTGTGCCCTTACCGATTTCTAATCTTTAAACCAACCAACATCAATGCAACCTTAATTAATTAATTATTTAATATACTCGAGTGCGTTGGATACCTTTCGGCGCTGTAGGGGGCTTGGTTGGCTCGGTTTTCTCTTAAACAGTTCTTATTTGGTGATTCCAAATTGAACCGCTTGATTAACGGCCCAAACCGGTTTTCTAGAATTCAATAATCATTAAAAAGCTCTTTAAATCTTGGTACCAAATTGGATTTTCAGTTTTCTTGTATGTAATAATATTCTTAAATGGTGAACGTAGCTTGGCTTCACTAATAGGCTGCTCTACCGAGTGATGGGACATGATCAACTATCAAATTAAATAGTAACCAAACTTGAAAATTAAAGGATACTTATATTAATTTACTATATTACAAACTATCCTAAATGCAAAAATTACGGATATAATCTATAGAATAACCCAAGAAAAGACAAAAGAAAATAAATGTAGTGTGCAAGGTATAGAGCTTTGTCGTAGCTCCTAGTGAAATTTCGAGTCACCGCGCGGGTACATATATAAATCAATATATCATGTACCTCTCTTTCCATCTGACCTTTCACAGAGCCTACCCGCAGTACGCTGTGTATTATGGTGGCTGGGTACGTCCCAACCTTGGACTATACTCCGCCTTATTTTCCTACTCCCTTTGAAGTCCTACTCCTTTCCTTCTTTCTTTCACCTTTCTCTATTTTTTCTGAATCTCCGTTTTCTCTCTCTTTGACGCTCTTTTTCTTGGCTTGAATAGGGATAGAAAAGAGCTTCCGCCCCTACCTTCCTTCTTATTTTTCTTTTTTTGCTCTCTGTAAATATAGAGATCCTTATTTCCGCCTCCCCAGTCCACAGCGCAGAACTTGATGCCAGCTTCACACTCTATAGTCTTTTGTTTACCTTGAGGGGGGGGCGGGGGAGCTGGTTTTGGCGGTGGGTAACTTGATTTTGAAGATGGGGCACTTGGTTTTGGGGGCGACGGAGTTGATTTCGAAGGTGGCAAAGATGGCCTCGGGGACGATGGGGGTGGTGACGAGGTAGACCTTTTATCCGTGGTCTTAATCCTACTCACTTCTGGTTTTGGGAGGGGCTCTCTCGAGCTTCTGGAGCTTAAGCTTTCTGTCCCGGAGCTTTCTGTCTCGGAGCTTTCAGGTCTGGGATGTTCTCCATTTTGAGAACTTGTACTTCCTGAGGCTGACATTTTAATGTACTTGATGTGTTTGTAGAAAGCCTGCGCAGTGGTAGTTGTGATAGTGGCGGGCCGGGTAGATGTGTAGATAAGTCAAATACAAACTCCAATGACTAAGAGGCTGAGTTTTATATTTGTTGATGTTTAAATGCTTGTATTACTGGATGGTTCGAGCAGAGTCTGGGTGAACTAGTTGGTTTGAATGTTGAAACTGGTTCATTCTCTTCATGTGTATCGAAGGTTGGAATGTTCCGAAGAGACCAGATAGTCTTGACCGCGTACATTATATCCGTGCATGGCCGCCCATAGTAACGTTTTATCTTGGCGCGTAAGAGGCGATATGTATTTTCGCACACACACTCTCTCACTCAGTATCGCGACTGGGCCTTGAAACCCCTGGCATCATGATTATGATGTAGTTCTGCGCACCCATGCACCGGGACGCAGGAACATCGATAATGTGGGTGAAATAATTCCGCGGCACCTAGATGCATGGCACGGACAGCTATGTAGCTAGCTATGTAGCTTCGCACGATCGCGATCGTAGTGCAGAACTGAAACAACAGACATGTATCAACAGCAAATCGATATGTCGGATCGCCTTCTAAGAACTTCGAACTGAGCGATGGAAGCTTAAGGGAATACTAAAATCCGGAATAGCGAAATGGTAAAACTCCATTCCTAGAGTATCGCAGGATCTAATTCGCGACTCAAACTTCCTACCCAAAATTTAAATTTCAGATGTTTTCGACGTATGTACCTACATCTCCTAGGGCCCATCTTACTAGTCAGCCGCTTTAGCGCTGTCTAGCCGCGTCTCAGCCAGGAATAAGGCAAACTGCATCTACCTGTACATACATGCGCTCATTAAAGTTTGAGGTGGGATCCGGGGGTCTATGATCAGATTAGCATGGACGCCGAAATCTACTACTAGTAAATTATAACACCAGCGTCCTTGACAAATCATTGACAAATAACGTGAAGATAACTAGATACAGAGGAGACCCTTTAAATAGCTCACAATATCATACACTTGAGTTATATTTCAAACCCCATAAATCTGTTTTTCAATAACCTCCAACGTGCTAAGTTTACAAAAATTTGATCCTCGGGATCTATAGCTATTTGAGGCTCGACACAAAACTGAAAGACGAATTGAAAACGTTAATCTCACTAGTAGTGCGAAGCCAACATACCTCACCATACGTATGTACGTATCACCCAAAGAACCCACCCCGTGATTTCATATCAAAATCATTGCTATGATACCGTTATTCATCGCGATTTGCCTACTCAACCCTAGCAGTTTATAAAGACGGGAAATAAACGAATATAGAAATCACAAGTACATGGCTAGTTTGAGCGCCTATGAGATCGCTATGGTTTCTCTAGGTTCGGCCTCACTCATTGTGCCCTTAATCCTTGGATTTCAGTGGAAATTTTTCAAGGGACAAAATAAGGTCAAAGCCGCTACTCGTGGTCATATGCATCTACAAATTATAACGTTGTTTGATTTTCTAGGGTAATAACGGCGACAAAGATGTGGAATTGGGGTTGCCAATGCCGCCTGTCAGTACTATCCGCCATATTATATATAATTACAGCTCTCGTAGAAACTACAGCTCCGCGGTGATTGACGCGAGCATGAGGATTGGGGCTTGGGAGGTTTTAAACCATGCGCATGCGGACCCGCAGCCCGACAGTGACTTTGATTCCGGCACCGATTTCTCTGAACAATCAGGTTATTGGGATATGCCGGGATTTCAGGATCTAGTCGATGTGTGCGGATGTTAATTGGCCAATTGGTTGGATATGGTCGGTCAGTCGGACCTCAAGAAGTATATATCCCAGCCACCTTTGACCATTAGAAATTTTGGTAACTCGAACTATATGCTAACACAGTATCTATATCTACTCTAATCGAGCTAGATAGTCCATCCGTCCGTACCAAATTTTACCCCGACACTTGCGGGATGAATTGTTTGGGCTTGACGATGGAATAAATAGAGCTGAACATTGAAAATGGGCTACAACAGCCTAACCTGGTTTTCTTGTTCCTTTGACGGTATATTTGGAGTACGTACGTATAGCAATATACGCAGGGTAGCTAGCTAGATGATCATGATTGTAACTGCTATTATAATTATACACTTTCAATTGCATGCAGTATTACGAGTATTTGGGCAGGTTGGAATATGTTAAGAACGATGGTTGAATTGCTTGATTGGCTTGTTCGATGATATAATACAAAAAGTAAGAGAGAAAAGGGAAAGACATAAGAGAGGTCGTTGACCACGACCCTAGTAAGTATGACCCGCACTTGACGTCCTCTTCACCCCTGCTCACCCGTCTTATACTATAGCTAAGTAGCCATCCTCCCCGAATCTCAAGCATAGGACACTCGGTTTCGACAGGGTGCATACAAGGCATACATGTACTTTTCTCAACTAGGCCATATATACATACATGTATGTACTATGTACCCGCGTTGCCAAAATCTCTAATAATTGATCATGAAGCAATACATATATACATGTAATTATCTCCTTGTGCTTTGAAAAAACAAGTTATTTTACGATTTGATAATTTTATACAGATTATTGTACATGTACACAGAGGATAGATTTGAATTTGTCAGGACTTGTCGTAGGCCGTTGGGGCCCGGGTGCTTGAAACTTTATGAAAAGGAAACCTGCGTTGGCCAATATTTCTATATACTGTAGCGACCACCTAATTAAGTTCGTACAGCCACGTTTTTTGTCAACAGAAAGTATCCGTACGGTACAACCTGACAAGTCCCCGAGTACTAAAGTTCGTATAGTAGTTTAGCCGGCAAATTCCAAAGTCCGTACACTCTAAGATCGAGAACTAACAACTTAGTTAGCTATTGATATTCTTCTTTTTATCCAAAGAACCCGGACAGGCTCTGTCCGGGTGGCTGAGGGTGAATAGAATAATGTGCAATATTATGGAAAAAATCAAAGATTCAATACAAATGACACCCTGGAAGCTTCGCAGTAGAGTCTGCCCTGATATCCAAAGAATTAACTTCGTACACTCCTCCCTTTTCCTGACATATGTTGGTAACAAACTGCTGAAGCGAACACCTGACGTACGAACTTTAATTAGGTTCCGCTGCATGAGTATGTGCGTAGCTAAGGGTAATGAGTGACCAACCTTAGGTTTACTATAAATAGTATATAAATACGCAAAGCAAAGCTACAGTAGCCACTACATGCCGACATTTATTAATCCCGGAAACTGTCCCAACGCTCGTCGAATTGCACCCTCTACTTCCACCACCTCCTCCTGAAGACTTTTCCCCACCAAATTTCCCTTTCCCTCCCTTCCTCTTGACAAGACTATGCTCGTGGTTTGGGGCCGCGGCTGTTGGGCCAGGATTGTGAGTGTATTTATTGAGATTTTGATTGATGGGATGATATTGATACAGAGCGGTTGTGGTGATCGAAAGGAGCATCACTGATACGAAAACAAGTACACATATATATAATATGTAGCTTGGGCCTTCTTCGGACGGGATCGTCCATTGTACTTTATGGTGGGTATATATATACTTAAACTACTATTCACTCAATAAATTAGAGTATGAACCAGGCTGCGCTGGGAAGTAGAGAAACCATCCTTCAATGATCAAATAGCAGGTGAGAGTGTTAATAAACCTACTATCATGAAGTTGCATGTAACCGGTAGGAACACTAGGCTGTAATGGCCTTTTCCCCCGTACCTCTAGCTCTGTCGTATCGTCAATTATAACATTCAATACATAGGTTTTTATTCTGGCATAGACCTGGAAGACTACATATGTTGGGACGCGCACTGATAATTGTTGCC